TTTTTCTTTAGTGGAGACAGGCCAGGAGACTTGGGTCAAGTGAAGACGCAGGATATTATGCGCTTCCCTAACAACGATGGACTCCATTTTAACCATGTATGGGGTAAAACACTTCGAGATGGTTCATCTAACGTTTTCCGAGTGCGCCGGAGCGACAATAGAATCATATGTATAAATAATGTATGCGCCTCGTGGCAGCAGTCCGTAATTTTAAGTGCTCTGTAATTTCTTCGAATATTCATTTCATTTTAACTTTATGTTTTCCAACATGGTTTTAACTATGTTTTTCAATTGTAAATAATTCATTTAACCAAGCTTTAACTAGCTTTTCGAACTTTGTAATCATGTTTAAATAGTTTTAGTAGTTTTTTATATTATCTTTTTCCATTGTATGTACTCATATGTAAATAATGCCGTAATTCAGCCTATGGCTGCAAGGGTTTTTATTATTAAACTATCTATCATCTATGCCCAGTGCTAGCCACCGACCTCACCAGTATGTGACTCACTCTAAAGCTATGGGGGTTAACCTCACGCCTGGCTATCTCTTTCGCCCTGTAACGCCTGACCTTGCCGTCCAAAACAAGAGTTACTCCTCTTCCGCGGCGGAATCTCGTTTCAAAAGCTACCTTAAAGAGATTGGAGAAGACCTATCTCACACTTTGGACGGCTTCCGCTCAGGATGCGCGTTAACCTTGGCCTTGACGGGTACGGAGATAAAGGACGTTCTGGATCACGTCGGTTGGAAATCGCATTCTACTGCCAGTCATTATATGCAGCTCTCAAAGATCTTATCGGCAACGTCCGCGTCATCCCGGTTGTGTGTCGCCTCGTCAAGTAATGGCTTGGACCCAGGGCAGTCATACCGCCAGCTTAACACCTTGGAAAGCTTTTCCGCCGCCTTCCCTTCACCAAACACCACAACCGAAGCCTGCCATAGTGAAATTTGAGCTCTTAGCTGACGGAAAGGAGTTTATTTGTAGAATGGGAGGCTAACAAATGTAAAATATAGAATATGATAAACTAAGTGCGACTTTGCTTATTTATTTAAGTGTTTGTAGCCTTTCCTCGCCAGGAAAAGGGACCATTTTCAAGACTTCCATATTTTAATGTAATGCTCGCGTGTATTGTTAGTACTTGAATATACTACTAAGTGGATTCTCTTACACAAAGAACTTATTGAAGACAAAAGAAAGCATGAGAAAATGTTGTTAGTACAATAGCGTTAAAAAGTTTCATTTTCCCCGAGTTGAGGCTAACCCTGTATTCCCAGAAGGCTCATACCTTAGGTCTTATGGTAATACAGGGTTATTCTCAACTCAGAGAAAATGCAAATTTTGAAGGTTGTTGCGATAACGACATTTTCTCGTGCTTTCTTTTGTATTTAGTCAGGTATTTGTGCAGGAGAATATTTTATCAATAAAAGTAGCGGTTTTCGCTATGAATTTGAAACCGGAGTATTCTAACAAGGAAGAGCAAGAGACATTACGTAGGTTTCTTTTCCTTTAAAAAACATCGATCTTAGAAGAGCTATTCATTCATAAATAGTACTTCTCAATTATTTTAAGACCCTCAATGTTAGTCCGGCTGGGTAGCAAAGCTGTGATCTCCCACACCAAAGCTTAACTCGCTTAAAAAACTCAAATGAAATGGTGACATGGCCACTGTATGGCAGAAATTTCAATTATTATTATTATGAAATTTAGTAGTGTGATGCCAACACTCACACCTTCATCCTCCAATTATTCAAGTAGTAGTGTGATGCCAACACTCCCACCTTCATCCACCAATTCAAGTAGTAGTGTGATGCCAACACTCCCACCTTCATCCACCAATTCAAGTAGTAGTGTGATGCCAACACTCCCACCTTCATCCACCAATTCAAGTAGTAGTGTGATGCCAACACTCCCACCTTCATCCACCAATTCAAGTAGTAGTGTGATGCCAACACTCCCACCTTCATCCACCAANATGCTTTGATCGGGTGACAAAAGTTCCATCTTTTCAAATTTTTCGCACAGTGCAGTTTCGCTAGATGTTTCCTGCAAATAATAAATCAATGACAAATTTCAGTGGTAGCCTTGTAAACTATATATAAAATCATATGACTTTTAGATGGCAAAATAGGCTTATATATCTAAACAATAACAAAGATAATCATAGTTATAGTCATGATATAAGAAATTTTTCTTTTTGTTTCCGAAAATAAGAAACATACRTACCAGGTATGACGTCGAAGGCTCGASGGTAAAGGACACTTCCGGTTCTAATGATTCATCTGGAGCAGATATGGTAACATCTATTTTGGRYGTAGCTTSTTCACTGGGTGCTTTGCYCAATAGAACACGGCAYCTCTTACAGATGGCTTTAATAGAAAAAGACACAAGGAGAATTATAATGCTAAATAATACAATATGTTATTGTAATATTATAATAAATATAGATTACATACGTGAACCGACAGGAACAACAGCTGATGTAAGTTCATGCAGCACCCGTGACTGTTCTAATGTAATTCCACGGTCACCCTTCCTCGGAGTGGTTTTATGAGGAGCCCAAGATGGAGGGCAGGCACAGTTCTTTTTGTTGGTCACCCATCGTAAGCCAAAGTCATCTCTGTGACGAGGACAAATCGTCATATGTAGATAATGATCATTTACTGTGAAAATACCTATAGAAAGAATTATTTTATCTACTCAGTTACATACGAGAAGTCTTTTTTTTTATTGCGCAGTTCTAAGCACTGCGTATTTGTGATAAGAATTTTTAAACAACTTACCGGCTCTAGCAAGAATAAGTGTCGCCTCATTGTTTACTGATTCAATATCAAACGTTTTAAGTCGTTGGAGATGTCCCGTAATGTCCTTCGTACAATTCAATATAGAAATGATCTCACTGGCTCCCTTGTGATACTTACTGGAGCCACAAGGACTACTAACTATTGATTTAAAGCCACAAGAAGTCATGATACAGCCATGTTACAAGCACCAGTAATCTGATATATCTGGAAACACTTTTCGCAACTTTGGAATGCGCTTGAATGTGTTCCCTGTGTGTAACGCAATCTTAACAAACAGTAGAGAAGTAGCGTAAGTTTTTGATATTCCTGGTTTAGAAGGCTAAAAATCGAAAGAACCCTCATGCTTGTTGTAACCATAGACCAAGTAGTTGATAGTGAAATCTAAAGGCTGGCGAACATTCTAGCCGAACGAAGTGTTATTGTTTTAAACAGTTATGTAAAAAGATAAATTTAACACCGTAAAAAAGTATGTGGAAAAACTTACTGACGTTTCGGATGTTAATCCTTCGTCGGAGTCATCTTTACTCCGACGAAGGATTAACATCCGAAACGTCAGTAAGTTTTTCCACATACTTTTTTACGGTGTTAAATTTATCTTTTTACATAACTGTTTCTTTAGAAACACCGACGCAGCTCACACTAGTTTACCGCTAGTTCCCACCATTTTGTTATTGTTTTAATACCGGATATCTTCAAGATGGCGAATTGTAAGTGACAATATTCAATCAAAACTTAGCTTTTTCACACCAAAAATGGACGAATTTTGATATTTAAGTAACATTCTAGATCATTAATAACATGGATTTATTTCAGTGAATTAGATTGCGTTTTGTGATGCTTAAAATATTTTAAAAGTTGATTGAACTCGATTCGACCGCCACGTGCGTGGTGTCGCACTTGACCTTTGAACGGCATATAAACAAAGGCGATAAAATTACTTCTTTTGAATAGCCCCATAGTCTTATTGCTGTTTTTACAAGAATAAACATAGTACTTTGCTTGTATAATAGTCACAATATCATATTCCATGTAGCAAAGGGTGATTTTCGTTCTCGAAGATAAGTATGTTTTTTGTATGCGATATATTGTCAAATTTGAAAAATCTGTAAAATATTCGTCAAT